GATAAAACAAAAACAAAAAGGTATTAAACAATATACTCGATCCTCTTATTGGTGGCCTCCGACTGTCATTTGTTTTTTTGTTTACTCCAGAACTCGTGTGATGATTGTTGTGGTTGTATTAATTCTCGTCTGACCTTGTGTTGAAGTGAGTTGAACAAATCTGGAGTTATTTGTGTGTACGGAGAGACAAACTGAATACAGACAGAGAGACAGACACGTACACAGACAGACAGACAAACAAACACGTACACAGACAGACAGAGAGACAGACACGTACACAGACAGACAGAGAGACAGATACGTATAGACACAGACAGACAGAGAGACAGACACGTACACAGACAGAGAGACAGACACGTACACAGACAGACCAGAGAGACAGACACGCACACAGACAGACACGTACACAGACAGACTAGAAGACAGATACGTACTTGAGCACAGACGAACAGAAGACAGACACGTACACAGACAGACAGAGAGACAGACACGTACACAGACAGACAGAGAGACAGATACGTATAGACACAGACAGAACCTTAGAAACTCTGGTGTTAGACTATAAAAAAAGACAATTGTTCAAGAATTTCCTATGGTTGTCTTAGTAATAGTTTGATCGTACGTTTTGGCAGCATAGTTAAGAAGAAAAAAAATCTTTTTCACGTGGTATAAATATTATCAGTTTGTCAGTTAATCGAGAAAGGTGGATGCTAGATTGACTAATGGAGCCAAAAATTAACATGACATCACTTCCCAAAGGTCAATAGAGTGAGGTAGGTGCAGGAGGCAGAGGCGAGTGTGTGTGTGAGGTACCTGTCTGTAGTTTGGTGAGGAAATAGCTGACGTGTGCAGTAAAACACCCTTTGGCACTCCCACCCACCCACCCACACTCCTCTCTCTCTCTCTCTCTCTCTCTCTCTCTCTCTCTCTCTCTCTTTCCTCTTTTCCACCTCTTCTTTCTCCACTTCTTCCTCCTCCTCGTCTCTTCTTCTCTTCCTCCTCCTCCTACCCATACCTCCAAGAGCGTCCATATCTCACTTAGGAGGTCAATGAATCAACCAGACACCATAAGTCGCGGTCCCAAGTCGCCTGGTGTGTGTGTGTGTGTGTGTGTGTGTGTGTGTGTGTGTGTGTGTGTGTGTGGACTCCTTGTGACGTCCATCATCACCATTATCGTCATCCTCAGCTCCTACCCCTTCTGAAGAGAGATAAGACGGATATGCATAACAACAACAACAACAACAGCAACGACAACAACAACAACAACAACAACAACAACAACAACTACTACAGTAACAATAACTACAGCAACAACAACAACAACAACAACAACAACTACTACAGTAACAACAACTACAGCAACAACAACTACAGCAACAACAGCAACAACAAACAAGCAGACAAACACACAGACAAATATACAAACAGAAAGAGAAAAAAAGAGTGAGGGAGAGAATGACCCCCTTCAGGAACACTCAAGAGACCCAGTGATGAGCGGCGTTTGAAAGGAGAGAAACGGATTTTCCTCCTTTTTTTTTCTCCTCCCTCCCTCTCACTGCCTCCTCCCTCCCTCTCACTGCCCCCTACCTCCCTCTCACTGCCTCCTACCCTCCCCCTCCTCACTGCCTCCCTACCCTCCCTCTCCTGCCTCCTCCTCCCTCTCTCTGCCTCCCTACCCCATCTCCTCTCCTGCCTCCCTCCCCTCCCTCTCACTGCCTCCCTACCCTCCCTCTCCTGCCTCCTCCCTCCCTCTCCCCTGCCCTCCTACCCTCCCCTCTCCACTACCTCCTCCCTCCCCTCCCCTACCCTCCCTCTCCCACCTCCCTACCCTCCCTCTCACTGCCTCCTCCCTCCCTCTCACTGCCCCCTCACAAGCCTGATGAATAACGACGGGCCCAACCACGTAGAAAAACCACATTAGACAACTCAAATTTCTTTCCTTCTACCCCTTAACCCCCCATTGGATTTTTCTCAGTTGTTTCAGGTCCCTGGAGGTTTATTTCAGTGGTTTGTGTATCCCTGGGGTTTTATTTCAGTGGTTTGTGGTCCCTGGATGTTTATTTCAGTTGTTTGTGTATCCCTGGGGTTTTATTTCAGTGGTTTGGGTCTCTGGGTTTATTTCAGTGGTTTGTGTATCCTGGGGGTTTTATTTCAGTGGTTTGTGGTCCCTGGATGTTTATTTCAGTTGTTTCAGGTCCCTGGAGGTTTATTTTTGTGGTTTCAGGTACCCAATAAGAGTGACCATAGACTAACTTCAATAAAATATAAAATATTCTGTTTTCCTCAGGGCGAAGCAGTAAGGAGAGAGAGAGAGAGAGAGATTTATACTGTATATATTGAGTGTACGACATCCAGTAACGTCCAAGACTCAGGTACAACAACACTGGGCATCGTACGACATCCCTCAGATCACAATCAGTCAGGGATAAGGGAGGGGCCAAGATGGAAGGGAAGAAGGAGAGAAGGGAGGGTAAGGAGGGTCAAGGGAAGGAGATAGGGAGGGTAAGGAGGGGCTAGGGAGAGATGAGAAGGAGGGAGAGAGAGAGAACAGGGAGATAATTTCACTTGGCGTTGAACATCATCGTGATGAGAGAGTGAGAAAGACGACTTCATACGATATACCAGTGAGAGAGCGACCATGTATAGCCGTCAGTTATTCTCGCCCCAACACCGCTATGCGATAACCCACACTCACACACACTCTTCACGTCTGTTGGGAAGGTAAATATTGCTTTCAAGTGCGTCCTGTTTGGGTTTTTTTATCTTATGGCTTAAACTATTGCCTTGGAGGTATTACTTGAGCTTCCTGAAGGATATTTTGTATACTCTGGAGGATCTTTAGTCATCCTTGAGGTTAATTGTTGTCGAGGAGGACATGTTATTTTCCTCGGAATAAATTGTATCTAGGAGGACAGACATAGGAGGAATATTGTACCTAGGAGGACAAACTTGAAGGATAAACTGTACCTAGGAGGACAAACTTGAAGGATAAACTGTACCTTGGCGGACAAACTTGAAGGGTAAACTGTACCTTGAAGTAGAGACATTAGACTAAACTCGGGCTGACAGGACACTAGGGGGAGGCACAGAAGACCAGGTGGGCCGTCGATACACTGTTTACCTGATGTAGGTCACCTGGCGTGTGTCACCAGGTGTGTGTGTGTGTGTGTGTGTCATTCCCTCACCCACATATCAATCCTACTCCACCATCCCCCTCTTCCTCTTCCCCCCCCCTCTTCCTTCCTACCCCCCTATCCTCAACTCTCCTCTTCTTTCCTCTTGCCTCACCATCAACCCCTTTCTTGAACCCTTCCCCCCCAACCCTCTTCCTCAACTCTCCCCATCCCCTCCCATTTCACACCCCCTCCCCTTCAACTCTTCCTCAACTCCCTCAACCCTCCTTCCTTCAACTGCCCCCCTCAACTCCCCTCACCTCCCCCCTCCCCCCACGCAACGATTGACCAATGGACGGGAAAGTCAATACACTCACTGGGTCATTCTCATCAACGTAAGAGCTATCAGTTTAAATCTATATACTAATTGATTACAGTTGATGACGATGGTTTAACTCGTTGAGGTCGATGGTTTAACTCGTTGAGGTCGATGGTTTAACTCGTTGAGGTCGATGGTTTAACTCGTTGAGGTCGATGGTTTAACTCGTTGAGGACGATGGTTTAACTCTTTAACGGTGAAGTGGACTAAAGATCTTTGATAATCCAGGCACTTAGTTCATCTTAATGTTCAATATAAATCTTCGTGGTCGTTCAAGGGTCGTCAAAAATCTTGATTTACTGAGAGGTCGTCCCGATTTTCACTCAGGAGGTCGTTTAAGACTCATCGTCGTTAATAAGAGAGTCGTAACCAGAAGATTGTTGTGTGTCGTCTGTATGAGATTGGGGTCGTAGAGGATGTAGTCGTGATCGGTTTTATGTGGTGGTCGTATTTGTAGTCGTGCTGGAGGATGGTGGAATATTTGTGGTATATGGAAGGTCGTTAAAAGTTGTTAAAGGTCAGCAAATCGTCATGTGTAGGTCAGGGTCGTAGGTTGAAGGCTGCAGTAGCGAAGGTCGTGGGAAAGAGACTATTGTGATGTGGTAAAGACTCGTATGTTGGTGGTTGTGGTGGTATGGTGGTGGAGGTTATGGCCTGGAGGCTTTGGTGGTAATGGTGGCGGTAGAAATAATAGTGGTAGTGGCAATGGTAATGGTGGTGGTGGTAGTAATGGTGCTGGTGGTAGTAATGGTGGTGGCGATAGCGATAATGATGGTGCGAATGGTGTTGGTGAGGGTGGTGGTAGTAATTGTGGTAGTTGTGGTAGTAGTGGTGGAGGTAGCGGTGGTAGTGGTGGAGGTGGTCGTGGTAGTGGTGGAGGTGGTCGTGAAGAGTGAGGGCGACCACCGTAACCTCTGGCGGATGATTTAGAGTCGTCTTCCTTATCGATCATTAACACCACCTTACATTATGGCTGCGCGCCGAACGAATATGGAATGTCCATCTGAGACCAGTGAAGATGGCGATTAAGGAAAGGATAACAGAGGCCAAAATTACAGAGTTGCCTGGCCGGGTCCTGACAAGCGGGCCTCGCCGTCACTGAAATTATACCCCTGTACCCCCCGCCTCTCCACCCTCCTCGATAAATGATACCCCGACCAGCGGAACACTATGAAAACATATCATTTTCCCCCGGCCAGACCCTCGCCTGCCTCCCCGCCACACTTTCCGTCCTGCCCAGGGAATACCCATGCTAGTGCAAAACTTGCTGCGGAACAGAGTGCAAAAATTGTGGCGTCGCTCCCGCGGTGGTGGCGGCGCCTGACGCAGGTGGCTCCGTGGCCCCCCGCTTGCCTCTCCTGCGGGCACTCCTCTCCTCGCCCGCCAGTGCAATTACTGTGGTATTTTTGACGTTGTGACGCCGGACCTGGAACGTGTAGTGGTGGTTGGAGGTGGTGGAGGCGGTGGAGGCGGAGGTTGGAGGTGGAGTGGCCGGGTGGACCGAGGAG